TGTGACACACTGATCGGTCTCTTCCCCAGTACCCGAGTGACGCTGTTCTATCTCCCCCTGTTCGGGGGGGCCGTTTTTTTGGTCCTGGTGGTGACAGGGGAACTTGGGAATTCATTTGTTGGCATGGGTTTGTATCAAAACCAGAAGCTTGCTCAAAAGGCTAAGTGCCCCTCCAGCACCCTTTCAAAGAAACACACCAATATATAATTGACTTGAGGATTTCGTTTTTTTCACGTCTGAAAGGAGGGTTTCGGCATGGAAGATTTGTCGGACATCCGTTGTTGAACAATGAATGTGCAAATATCACTTGACATGAAGTGCCTGAGCAACCGCCTCTCGTTACCCACCCTGTTGGACAGAATCCAATGTTCCATATTGCCTGGGATAGACAGGAATCCTTTTGTGTTCCATTAGGATTCAAGAACTCAGGGGTAGAGTTAAGCCATGTGGAGCACAACTTGCAATACACGATCGGTAGTGCACGACTGTGTCAATTGACAGTACTGTGAGCTGTCACAAACTCACCATGGTCTCCTTCAATGTTCGACATCAGAAGGACTCATCACCGTACAAATAGCTAATCCGTTACCTTCCCGGGTCAAGCCTTGTAGTCGCCTGGCGCAAAAGAAACAACAACACAGGTGAGTTCTTCCAGTCAGCCACAAGGGCAGTGACGTGCTTAGATGAGATGGACACTGAATAAGCTGTTTGCAAAGAAACTCTCACTAGTAGCTAGAAGCTACTAGGTGGAGGCCATCGCTATTAGGGTGGGCCATTCCAATTAAGTTCCTTTTGTCCCGCTTTTTTCGCTTTCTCACGGCGAGGCGACTGGACGACTGGACTGCCAGACTGCCAGAGGTTGGTGCTCGCTTCAGCGGTGGGGGGGGGAACAGTAGTCGGGCATGTCATGTCTCTAGTTGGGCACAACCTCACGATACCTCACGTGTTTTGGTTTGCGCTCACCCACTTGGTTGTTTCAAAGTCACTTCTCATCCGGGGCGCCACTCTCTGGGAAGAAGACTGACTCTCGGAGCGGAGTTGCCCGAAGCACTTGAGGACAGGTAGACCGAAGGACCCGGCCAGCCAGAGCAAAGATTCCCTGCAAATGAATGTCCAGCATATGTGTTCCATTGCATACCGGACATGGATTCCACATGTTGTGAAGCCTGTATCATTGAGTATTCACCTGATCCGCTCAACTTTGCAGTTGGCATGCTCATCAGTTGTGGCTCGCGGTTTCAGATCACATGTTGGCCCCCAGAGATGAAACAAGAACCAAACCATCAACTGTCGTGTTTCTTCGGCCAAAAGGTATCCTGACCCTCCCGCATCAGTCCCTGAACTTCACCACTACCGAATTACTCGACCACCTCGACTCCGAGCACCGTGTCGTCCACCGAAGCGCCACGAAACCGAGCCCAGGGCACCATCCATGGTGGGGCCCGGCGGCCCATCCGGAGTACTTTCTCCCGAAGCAGGCGCCATCGCACGTGCAGTGTGGCCGGCCGAAGCTGTGGGGAAGGCACCAAGAAAAAGACACGGTGTCGTGCGATCTTGGACATGCATGAAACATTTGGAGTGATTTGTTATGCATGCAACATGGACTCGAGTTTGGAACGAGATTGCTCATTTGGGGGGATGAAGTCAGACGTCCAAAAGAGGAGCTCCGAGATTTTCGCGGAGACACTCCCTTCGGCGTCGATGTCTCGGCCGTCGTGCGGAACGCCGTCCTTCCTCCGGTCCGGTGCGCCGGGTGGGTCAACAAAAAACCGCTCGTCATATCTCGCTACCTACCCTGCTAGCATGTTTGCTAGCATATGACATGATGAAATCATTAGATTTAGATATATGATATATAATATATAATATATAAATATCATATATAATATATAATATATAATATATAATATATAATATATAATATAATTTATATATATATATATTTATTATATATATATATGTTAGCTCACCCTTCCCGAATCTCTGGCCTGAAATCATGTCTCTTGCGTCTCCACCTACTATGCACCATCTCTTCCTCCACCTACTTCGAGCCCAAAGGCCGTCGGGTGAGGGGATGAACGGTACGGTGCCCGCAACGACTGTGCTGACACGTGGTCCTTCATTTCACGACCTCAAAGGGCCAGACTACTACGACCGAGCAGGCAAAATCTTGACTACTTGCTCCCCCAATGCCTGCGTCGAGCCCAAAAATACAACGAATGGATGAGTAGTCAAGTCTCCATCTAAGTTCGGGCTTGCGCCTGAGCTAGGTCCATGAAACACTACGGTTCCTGCCGCCCCGCACTGCGACTCCCCTCCCCGCAGGCGCATGGCCTTCTTGAGGTCGCAGGAAACAAGATGGAACCCACGATCCCGAATGCGAACACGTACTCGAAAACACGCGCCCAAACATTTTTTTACACTCTTGTAAGAGACACTCTTGTAGAACGCTCTTGTGGGACACTCTCGTGCGACACTTCCGTCACTTCGTGGGACACTGTTGGAGGACACTCTTGTAAGACACTTTTGTGGACTCTTGTGCAACTCTCTTGCGGGACACTCTTGAAACACTCAAGTACGACACTCACATCCTCAGCTGTCATTTGGCCACATAAGTTGACAGTTCTGAGGCCACAGCTCCCAGAAGTTGCTTCCCGCACTACATTCGGTACTACAAAGATTCAAACTCTACAGCTCCCAGAAGCTGCTTGCCCCACTACATGTGTACTACCAAGTGGCCAGTTCTGAGGCCACAGCTCCCACAACCTGCTTCCCGCATCACATGTACTACAAAAGGCGCAAAGGACCAAAAGCCGCTTCCCGTACTACATTTGTACTATCAAGCCCCAACTGCCACCCACATTACATTTGCGCTACAAGTTGCCACTTCTGAGGACACTCTTGTGGGACACTCTTGTGGTGCACACTTGCGGGACACTCTTGTATGACACTCTTGTGAGACACTGTTGTGGGAAACTCTTGTAGGACACTTCTATAGGACACTCTTGCGGAACACGCTTGTAGGACACTCCTGTGGGACACCCTTGTAGGACACTCTGGTAGGGCACTCTTGTCGGAGACTCTTGTGGAACACTCTTGCGGGGCACTCTTGTCCGACACTCTTGTATGTCACTCTTGTAGGACACTCTTGCTGGACACTCTTCTGTCACTGTTGTGGGACACTCTTTCGGGACACTCTTGTGGAAAACTCTTGTTGGACACTCTTGTGGGACACTCTCGTAGGACGCTTTTGTGGCGCACTCTTGTAGGACTCTCTTGTGGAACACTCGTGTGGGGCACTCTCGTAGGGCACTCTTGTCGAACACTCTTGCAGACTCTTGTGGGACACTCTTGTGGAACACTCTTGCAAGACACTGTTGTGGGAAACTCTTGTGGGGCACTTCTATAGGACACTCTTGAGTGGGACATTCTTGTACTGTATGTAGGACACTCTTGTGGGAAACTCTTGTGGGGGAGTCTTCTTCCAAAATTCACTCGTCAAAAAATTCACGCGTCAAGTCTCCAAAACGAGCGTTTCGTACAAGTTAAGTCTCCAAAACGAGCATATCGTACGAGACATCCTCCAAAAGTCCAGCGGGAAGCCCATCGGACCACACACATCAAGCAGCCCTGCCAAGCAGTTTCACGATTCCAGCCCCTCCAAACACCACCCGCACACACACACACACACACCAATCCCAATGTCACAGCGACATTCACCTCCACCACAACTCGCAACCTCACGATTCCCTGCACCTGCCACGAAAATTTGCACGTCCACACCTCCAACATGCAGAAAGTATTGCGCACGCCACGAAATGTGACCTCTGCCACACCTCGCAACTTGCACCTGCCACGAAAATTTCACTTACACCTCAAAACCCGCACAAAATACTGCGCCTGCCACGAAAGTGAAAATAATATCGTATCTTCGTAGCTTCAGCAGTTTGCACCACACCACACGTTTGGAATGATTCCGACACGTTCTCAGCACGCTCCACCCACCACAATTGCTATTATAGCTCAAGGACTTGTCACGAAAACACAGCTTCGAAGCAACAGCCTGAAACACAAATCCCAATATCCAACACCCCAAAAAATCACCACCCTCTAAAGGCCAATCCCAATCTGACTGCGAAGAAAATAGCGGATATCACAAAACGCTGCACCTGCGCAGTGAAGTCATCCTCCACACTTCATCCTCTCACGTTTGCACACGTTTCCTCGCTATTTCACACGAATCTGACACGTCATGCTTCCATCCAAAACCCTCTCCAAAAGCTTGGCCCAAATGTGAGTTCCATAGCGCAACACTGCGAACGGTTGCGGACGGTTGCGAACGCTACGACAACTAGTCTCGAACAAGACTCTACCCCCAGACCCCCAGAGTTGAACGACAACCCTTTGCTACGCATTCGGGAAAAGACAAAAACACCAGGATTTCAGGTGCTTCAATAAATGGTGTTCTACTATTCATCTAAAAAAATAATGCAACTCTTCCATGCTCCACAGTGCAGTCTGAGCCGACCTATTTGGGGGACCCTCCGAAACCTTCATGTTTCTTGGCCAAACCCAAGTGCGGTCCCTTGACTTAGCTTGGCTAAGACGGTCTCTGGAAGATCATGTCTGGGGAGCATGTGAGAGTCGGCCGAACCCTGCTCGTACGAAAACGAAGACAGCGCATTCGAAGGCCCTCTCGTTCTCGAACGGTTTCCGCATGTTTTAGCCAAACTTCTGACGACCCCTTGGTAGTAGCTTGGTGATCCTGGTTTTGCCACTCCCAATCTGATGTGCAGGACAATGTGTTTCAAGGGCCAGTGGTGCCACTGAAGCCCTCACAGGCAACTAGCAGGCCGCAACTAATATGAGTCTTCCAGATTGAGGGATGTCAACATATGGTCAAACCCTAGGCCCACAGGTTGACCCGTCCTTTCCTTTTGACCCGTCTTTCCAAGGACCCCATGATCTCTCGTTAGCGACAGTTCAGCTGGGTGCTGTACCCTCATCTCCTCTTCAGGCATCTGCTCCACACCTTTGCCCCGCAAGATGCTCTCGCCATACAAACCTCAGGGTTCACAAGCCCCTCAGGATCAGGATTCGCCCCTCTCCCGTTTGGGGCCTTTTCGCATGGACCGTTCGGCGCGGTGCGGTGCGGCTCAAAAAGGAAGTGTCCAACTTCAATGACTCACAGGTTGTGAGAGGAACCAGAGTCTCCAACTCACGGTATGGATCCTGGTAGATCCGCCACTTCGATGGCGGTTCACAGCGAACATGGTTTCGTGGAAACCCATCGGTTTCTTTACGAAGAACTGCAGCAAACTGCGAGCAACTCAAGGCGAACTGGTATTAATGTCTCGACCCGTCGATTTTCCAGTGATACATCGGTTCAAGCTCTTTTCGCGGAAAAAACGAATAGAAACAGCATGTTCCTGTGAAAACCTAGGTGGGAAAACCATTGAAAGACCCTCAACAGAACAAAACTGTGAGATGTCATGCTCCTCATTTTCCGCAGCGTGGTCCACCTAGTAACAAGAGTAACAAGAGGCTAGTAGGTTGGAGGCCATTACTACTAGTAACAAGAAGTTACTAGTAGCGAGGATGCTCCTAAAGCCCCCTAAATAACACCATGTCCCGGTCTGATCGACGTCCAGAGTCGACGGAATTGATCCTACAAAGCCACCAAGAAGAACTGAAACTGGGAAAGCAACATCTCAAGTCTAAACCGCTTGTTTCTTTTCAAATTTCATCATCTTCCAGGCCACTAGAATCACTAGAACCCAAACCTTCCCCATTGGCCCCATCCACACCCTCCGCCGAAACACACGAGGGCCCGGCAAACAGGGCAGCACCAGCTTTCTGCTGGCTTCACCGATTCGAAGTCCACCAGCCTTCGAAGACGCACACATGTTTTCTTGGGAGCCTAGTAGCGTGGCACTTGTTCCTAGTAGCTTATTGTTTCTACTAGCTTCTTGTTACTACTAGTAAGGCACTTGTTCCTAGTAGCGTGGCACTTGTTCCTAGTAGCTTATTGTTTCTACTAGCTTCTTGTTACTACTAGTAAGGCACTTGTTCCTAGTAGCGTGGCACTTGTTCCGTGGTATAGAATCACTCCGGTACCCAACGGACCCTCATATATTAATGAACAGTTCGACCCCAAGAATCAATCCACCGACCTCGGCTGTCCTAACGGAGGAGGCGGTTTTTAGAGGGCGAAGCATTGCTTTTCAGCCATGTGTTCAGCCAGGTCCCTAGATTTGGAAGACATTTTCGGAAGCACTGCTCGGCCATGCGCTTTGTCTTTTTTGCATGCGCGCTAAAATCTCTAAACTTTTTAGGAGGTCCAACAGAAGCAAATGGATACCTTGGGCAACGCCTTCCGAAGAATTTCCGGCTGAACAAGCACACAAATCGAGCGCAAACCCCCAACATGAACCCAAAAGAAATGCATTTCATTCAACCCCACTGCCTAGCCCGGGCGAGTCTTCCGCCTTTCGATACACTGCACATGGAAGGCCCTGGGACAACGCTCACCTTGGGCCCAAGCCGCGCCGAACTCGGTCGATCCATTGGGGCTCGGCCCTTTGGGTTTCCCCACCTGAAAGTAGACCCAGAACGATTCGCGGAATATATGGGATTGAAGAAAACTGGATGGCTGGGTGCGTTTTCATGGCTGGAGCTGGCACAAAAGAAGCGAAAATCACCGATCTGAACCTGTGCCATACTTGTTTAATGGCCAACACTGGTCAACTCTGGAGTTAGTGGATCTGCCGCAATTCTCTAGGGGTTCTTACAGTACCAAATATTCCAGGATGTCCAGATCAAACAAGCATATCAACGTGTGGGTCTCTACGGAGACAAAGGGGGAAAAAAACAATCCCATACATACACTGATACACTCCTTGTATTTTCCACATCCTGCAAATGGGAGCGACTTTTCAAAAAGGTGGAAGTAGCAACCGGGTTTACGATGTTTTCGAAACCATCAATTCGGTCTCTTGGTCTGAGTCCCTCCGGTTTTTTTGCCGACCTCCTCTCCCCTGGTAGCTAGGGCAATACTAGTAGTAGCCAGCGCATCACTTTAAGTCCCTCTAGAGTCTCAAAGTGAACTCCTCTGGACTCTGTGCAGCCCAAGTCACACAGCAGAAGCCGGCCACCGCTCTGACAAGCCTCACACGGGGAAGTTGTGGCGTTTTCTATAAACATCACTCAATTGTGGGTCTACGTAAGGATTAAAGTCATAAGATTGTCACAAGATGTCACAAGTGTAAATTGCTAGGAGATTTGTCTTCCAAACATCAATTCTCACCAGACCGTTGTCTGTGACGGAAACACCGCTCGCCGTAAAGCCCACCAAAACGCTTTGGAGCTTTGTATGGTCGCATATTTTTGTTCCCACTCCTCACAAGACTTTGCTCTCTTGAAAGATCCGTAGAGGAGAACAAGCCGTCGCATCAGTTCCTTTTTTCTTTGGAGTTAATCGATGCCAACAGCCGATTCATGATGCCGATTCATGCGCCCACCAGAGAGAATGTGTTTTTGCCAGTCTCCCCCCATGGGCTCTCCATTCGCTCAAACACCGGTGCACGGTTTAGACGTCATTGTTGAAGCCATGACGGAGACACCGCGCCACGCCTCGCAGAAGTCATTGTTGATCAATGCGCGGTCACCAACCCCGTCCAGACCTGGTTGTGAAAAGCCATGGGGCGTTTCGCATGGAAACGGAAGCCGCGGAAGCAGGCTCGGAGCAATCTGGAGCATCTCTTGAAAAGAGAAGAAAAATGGGACGTACGTGAAGTGTCTCCAAAGTGCAATTGTTGAACGCGAGCGTTTATTGAATATCTGTTCTTGGAAGGAAATCCGACATGAAATATTCTCAAGCATCCTTTCAAGAAAGGAACACGCCAGAAAACCAAAAAACACTTCTGTGGTCAAAAACTTCTTTGGATTTAGAAGTGCTTCACCCAAAAACAACTGTAAAATGGAATCCCTATATACCACTTTGCACAGCGACAATACCCCTCCAGAATCCTGAAAGTCTCACAAGCTGGGCTGACTGCTGGTCTCCAACACCTGTCGCGCTGCAGAAAAGTCATTTGGGGAAAGCACACAGCGTCCAAGCAAAGAGACTCCTCATTGTATTTGGGACAAACCAAAGAGCTGCAAAACGACCATGAACATATTCATGTTTGAACAGTGGAAGGCTCGAGTCGAGCAAACGCGCTAGTCTCACGCTGACCGCGCTGAAGTAGTCCGTTTAAACTGGTAGAAAACCCCTCTCAAATAGTCCTTTTTGGAGTACGCTACTTTTCAACTGCCTAACGGCGAGCTCTTTGTAGCTCCTCCCGTCTCGTGTGCCCTCCCTCCTTCCAGGTCCCTCCCTCCTCTTCCCCACGGCGCACCATCTAGTTCTGCCGTGGGAGAGAGCTCCCAACAAGCCCCAGTCAGGCCCCAGTCAGGACTAGTCGCTCTCCACGGAGAGCTGGGAACCAAAATCACCGGCGCAAAGGAGAGAAAAACCATCCCGCAAAATTGGAGTGATGCAGTGTGTGGACAAAAAGCTAAGAGGATATCACCGTTGTTTTATGTTGTTCTACAGAGGTTCTACAGGTTGGTGAGCAACAGACTAGCAAAAGAATCGTGATCCAAAACCCCCCAGCTGAGCTTTAAAAAACATCCCTTTTTGGATTGGAGTGGCTTCCCGCCACGAGGCGCTGTAGAGGTCGCATCCCGCCATGAGAAACTCCTTCACGTTCCATATAGAAACAGTCCTTCCAGACTAATGACCCTACTACTGAGGCCTTGTTGCCGTATGCTCTGGTACAAAAAAAGGGAAATTACAACGTCCACCAAAAAGGAGCCTATCCAGGACACCTCATGAAGTCTTACCTATTGATAAAGGATGTGTTGTACCTCGATCTGTTCATTCCTGCAAGCAACAAGGGTTCGTTCTCTGCCGTTGGAGCTGACACAGTGACAGTGGCAGGCGTTGTATCTGTGAAGCATCGGTACACTCAGACGAGCATTTCGAATAGAACTCGTTGGCAAAGCTTACTGTCCTCTACCAACAGAAGTTTTTCCACTTCCGTGTTGGTGAGTCGGAGGGTAGGGCCATTTCATCATGAATTGAAAGGGTAGGTGCTTCTTTTCACGGTACCAATCACTTCTCTGCCCGATCGAAGTGTGTCCACGACATTTTTCGGGACCGCTGTCATCCTGTTTTGCTCCCAAACAAACTCACATGATCGCCAGCTGGTGGGCATGACTTCAAGCCACTTTATTGCTTACTGAGGTGGCTCTTGGGCGGGGCCAAAACAAACTTAAAGCCCTAGGTGACGAAGATTGTTGGACTTGTGACTAGCTGCGTCTGGGGCCCAGGTCATTCTTTAAAGAGCCTTTGAAGGCCCTGCTGTTTCTTGGTGTACTAGGTGGTCCAACCGGGAAGGGCAACTGGGAGAAGGGCAGTGATGCTGGAAGGGCATGCGTTCTTGGACTGGACTCAATGATCTGCAACAAAAACTAGAAACGGACCTGAGTCTGGTTGGACAAAAAATGGATGTTACCTCACTCAGCACCTCCATGAAACTTTGTTCTAGCTTTGGACGAGAAAGAATGGAGCGTGCCGGCGATTGCCCATCCAATCTGTTGAAACAGGTTGTCTCGCTATTCCCGGGCAATTCCTCTCTCTCTCAAAAACACTGCAGCTTGTTTACGAACACTTGAACAAATTCAACCCCTCCTGAAAGCCCCCCAAACGTGTTCATTGTGTTTTCCTGGATTGGAAGGTTGTTATACTCTCATGCCAACATGGCGCCGGAGAATCGAATTATCCTCTTCTCAGCTGTTGAAAAGGCGCATGTTCAGCCTGCCCCATCGAAGGCGGAGAGAAACCAACTGTTTTTTAAGAGCCATCGTTCCCACTTTTGGCCGACACATCTTGCCGTGTTTTCACAGTGTTTTCACGCTGCAAAACCTTCGCTGCCAAAAAATATCATATGGTATGGCATTTGAGTATGGAGAGAGAGAGAGAGAGAGAGACAGAGAGAGAGAGAGAGACAGAGAGGGAGAGAGATTCATAATGTAAAGCTAGTCTGGTCAACCTTTCTTGGTGTCAATTTGTCTTGCAATACTAACCGCCTTTCTTCCCCTAGCTCATTGTTGGCTCAGGCCTTGAGCAGTTTGCCCATGAAGGTGAAACTTATTGGATAGGACTCGGATAGGACACTGAACTCCTCATAGGCAGCAACTGCATCATCCATCCTGGCATCCTGCTTAAGGACAACTTAGGTAGCGGAGGCTACCTTTCACCTCAGTACCCTCTTTTGGAGCCGTTGCATGCTAGCCAAAAATTGACAGGTCCCCTTTGTGAGACTTCTCTGAGGCGGAAAGCGAGCCATCAGACCCATCTGACAGAAGCACTACTACTGACAGAAGCCGGAGCTGGCTGACATGTTCATTACGTTCAGTTGACTAGTGCAATTCGTTTCCAGATTGACGGCGATGAGTTCGCTTCTTAGGGCTCCGCAGCTTTGTGTGCACGGGCTGTTGAAGGGACCACGGGACGAGTGTAGGCTTGTTGGAACCTACTGCAGTCTAATTGTGGGTGGCATTCCTTTTCCTTTTCACCAAATAGCCAGAGGTGTACGGTCTTTACTTCCTCGTCAGACAGGCGCCTGAACACTTGAGAAAAGTCTAA